TGTCGCTTCCATCTATTGACCCGTAACAAAATCCTTCAAAAATAGTTACACAAGTTTTCGCAAAATTATATATCTAAAGAGTAGTAAGTTTCATATTACGACTTTACTTTTTTTATTTTCATTTTGCATAAATATACACATTTAGTGTTCGAACGGTAGATCATAAAACTTTAGTTGATATATCTCAACGAATTTATTTCAATTCCTCGTTATTCATAATATGATGCATTACATCACATGCAAAAGAATTATAAAAAACATAACTTATTGAGATATTTCAATTTTCAATTGGGCTACACAGAAAAAAAAATCACGAAATCACAAATCGAATCGAAACCATTGGCTCGGGTCCACGTGGACCTGCGGCTCTTTTCCCCTCAAACCGAACCAAACTGTTTCAAAATAATTTGGTTTAGGTTTCAATTTTCAAAAATTGCATAAAACCGAACTAAACCCTTTTTTGATTAAAAACTAATTTTATTAACGTACAAATTTTAAAGTTTTCACTTTTTAGAAAAAGTACAAATTTAGCAATAGAAATTACAACCAACTCATTGAAATAATCATATAAAGTAAATTAAGTTCACCATTATTGGTCGATGGTTTCATAAGTCCACAATACACATCTTAACCCAATATCTAATCTAAATTAAAATAATTCTCAAATCATATGAAATGAAAAAAACATTTATTTTCAACAATCCAAATCATAATTCACCAAAACTACGACAACAAATCATGCTCATAACTTTAGAACTAAACTCTCATTTCTCAAACATTTGCTGCTTACATGTCACTGCTGAACAAAATGCGATTCTCAATCGCAAATTGCTAATCACCTTTTGCTTGTTGGTTTGCTAATTTCTACCCGAATAATCTCTTTCTCTTTTCTCTTGATAAGTCTTAGATTCTCATTTAAGTTTTCATTGTTCTTTTTTTTATTTGTTGTTTTTGAACTTATTATACAATTGTGAGTTGTGATTTAGATTTTTAAAAAAAAATTGTTTGTATGCCTAAGTGATTAATAAACTTGTTTGTATTTGTAGTTTAAAAAGAACGAAGAATATAGTGTATTTATTGTGTGAAAATGTTAAAATTCTCTAACTAGTACTGCTACCTTCTACTTTCTTAAAGTCGTTAGAGAATAAAATTTATTAATTTCCAATAAACATGAACTCTATCATTCTTTGTACATTTAAACATATCATGTTCAGTCCTTATTTTTCATCTCACCAATAGGACGAAATGAGTTTTAACTAAACTATTACAGCAGAATGTGATTCTGTTTTTACCAGCCT